CTCAAGTCCTTTCACCCTTTTCAGCTTCCCCTCCAAAAGTCCTCCTCAGTGGTTTCCGCTCACGCTGCCACATCATCATCAAGGGTGCCTTCCCTGCTTTTCGTGTTCAACAAGGTCTGACCCAATTAATTCATTTGTACACTCGTGCTGGTTTTCCCAAGGAGGAACTCCGAACAATCTCTGACCAACTTTATCAGAACCATCAATCGCAGAGTCAAATGTGGGCTTCCCGCTTGCTTGTCCTGTTTTCCTTGTGGGGTTTCTTGTTTTTTGGTTTGTTTTGTGTTTTCGGGCTTCCTCTTGCTCTCCTTTCGTTTCCTCTTGTTTTTGGTTGTTGCTTTCCTGTTTTTGTTTTCTTGGCAGCTTCTTGGCTCAACCACCGCTTTTTCCTTCTTTCTCGCTGTGTTGTTCCCTCTGATGGATCACGCTCAGGGTCGTGCTTTTCATCACCACCTGGCTCGGGCCATTATGCACCTAAACCACTTGGCGGGGCTTCTCCCCTTTTTCGAGCCCTCCATTGAATGGGAAGACTCCATGCCTCCTTCACACTTTCACCTTGACCGCTCGACATCAAGAGGCCTCCACACCTTTGTTCCTTTACCTCCATCGTCACTGTCACACCAACAATGGTAACACACGGGGGCATCCCGTCACACATGGTGGTTAATCCTGAACCAAACCTTCGTCCCACCACTATGCGCCCTCCATCTTACATGGAAGGAGACCATACATCAACCACACCTGTGGAAGGACGCAATCCAGTTCTCATGACGGATCCAGGCCCTGATCCTACTCCGGGCAATCCATCAAGCACTGAACCTGGTCGTGGCAAACCTCGAACCACAATCCCAGTCCCGGTTCGATCCAAGCAAAGGGTCTCTTCAACTGTTGACCCACAACCGAAGAAGAGACAAAAACTGTCGACCCTGCCAGAAACTCCAATGTCAATGGCTACGGGAGGGGTCAACCCTGGACCACTTCCCATCACATCAGAGGTCATCTCCGGAGGCCTCAACTCAGATGACCCTGATGGTGACGCAGCATCAGTCGCTGCTTCCGCCCATGATACGGAAGTCAACTACGGCCACCGTGGCGACACAACGTCACACGTCACCTCCACCATTCCTCCAGGCACCTCCACACTCACATTGACACCAAACCCCAAGGCACCAGCCTCTCCCACCTTCCGGATCCTTCAACCAAATCCAGCTGATCCACCTCGTGATCCACCATTCCGCCCATGGACCAACGCAGATGATCAAGAGCTGATCAGTATGAAACAGGACACAAAGTCCCGTCCTTCGTGGAAGACGATCGGTGCCAGACTTCATCGCGATCCCCAGGTATGCAAACTGAGATGGGGAATCCTGAAGCAAACGCCTGGGGTCATTGACCAACACGGTCGCGTCAACCCACCCCTCGAACCAGAGGCGGAGGATTAACCGATATCACAGACATGTCAATGCTGAAAAAGTGCATCACGGCCCGTTGTCAAACTTGACATGTTTTTGTCATCCATTGTTTTTCCTTTCTTCCTCTTTTTCTGGTTCTTCTTTCTGGCTTTGGTTTCTTTTTTGTCTCTCCGGATTCTCCTCAGCAGATATGGCTCATTCATCTACTTACGTGCGAACCGTTCCTGAACGCTCTCGTTCGCGGGACGACCCCATGTGGCAATCTCGCCACTCACAACAACGTGGTCGACAATATGATCCAAGACCTGCAGTACCTCCTGCACCTCGCCTTAGGAAAGTACTTGCGATTGTAGATCTTCAATCAGTACGTCCACTCATGAACAAAGCCCATGATGACGTCATGGATGCCACGACCTGCGATGTGTTACCTTCCCTCAACAGAGTGGAAGAAAGAGCCCTGTTCACCTACAATGTCTTACTCAATACCCACCGTCTTGAATCATTCACGGTGTACAACCTTCTACACTGCATCAGCCAGCACATCTGGTACACCTGGGATCGCTACCTACCCCCGTCCTCCATGGACATCAGGTGGCAAGACGATACTGGAGACACTTTCGCTCTCCGCAATGAAGACCGACTTTGTTGACCTACTTCATGAATATCGTCCTCATTGGACTGAAGGCCAAGAATTCGGCATTTTATTTCCCAATGACATCCGACATTTTACGTCTCACTTTCAGCCTTATATCATGCGCCCGAGTTGCCATGAAGCCCTTCCCAACCGCAACATGCTTCCATGAGACGGACATATTAAAGGTCTTTGTGCATTCGCTTTTCTTTGTCTTTTGTTTCCCCTCTTCCCCTGTGTTTTCGGTTTCTTGTCCTTTATGTCCCCTTTTCAGCCCTTGGCCCCAGCTGTATCATGACCAAACGTGATTCCCTGCTTGCCGGTTTCACGTACCCTTCAACGTCGATGAGCATGCCACGTCGTCACTCTCAAACTCATGGATACCCCAGTAGCACTGCCGCACCTACTGATTCACTCAATCCTTCTCGCAGTGTCACTGATTCTACTGAGTCTACTGCTTGGCCTTCTCTCCGACATGCAGGATCCAGTGATCAAACCTCCCACTACGGGTATTCGACAGCAGCTACGTCAACACCCATTCCAGCTCCTGCCGATCATCAGACTCCGATCCCTCCAAGACGTGAAGAAGCTTATCCACTTCAGATGGAAATGGCAGAGACCCGTCGTCAGCTTCATGCCCATTACTTCACCGAAGTTCGAACACCTCAAGCTGACAACTCCCAACCAGAGCTTCGCCGCCTTATGGTGACGGAAGTGGATCGGTATGGGGTACATCGAAACAGGCAACCGGAGTTCTTCTTCAATGGGATCATTGGTCACATCCGTGCTGATCAAAACGGATGGATCGACTCTTGGGACCAAGCCACCCAACTAGCCAACTACTGGCGTCGGCACTTCCAAATTCCCGAAGTGCCCCCTGATGGAAATTGGCATCAATATCCGCAAGAGTCCAACAGCGCGAACCAAGCGGGAGAAAGCCAAGAATCCCTGCCGGGATCAGATATGGAAGACACGGATTCCCTCTGTGTCTATGCAGCATCCGCATCGGCACCAAGTCAGATCCACCAGCTGGCCACCATCCTGTGGAACATTCTCAACAATGACCGAGGGGCCAACTTGGCCATTCTCGAGAAATTGGAGAACCCAGCAAACGATCCGATTCAGGTCTTTTCGGCAGCAGACTTGGCCCACCTTGCTAGCCACTTGGCACAGACCACTCGCGATTTGTCACATCAAGCTCAACAAATGGAGGCGCTCTCCGACATCAGCGATTGAGTCTGACTACTCCGGGCTGAAGGTGTTCTGAGCAACTCGGATAATTCAGCTGCAGGCTTCTTCCCTGTATTTTGATCTTGCGTTAACCGCTACATCCTGTCTCAGGGTCCAGATAAGAGCTTCACTGCCAATCTCGCAGTTGCCAAAAAACAGCCTCGCGACAGCGAGGCGTGTGTGTGGAACATCTGAATAGATGTAAAACTTCTAACTCGCTTGCCATGGTTTGAAACTTCACTTTGATTCTAGAGTTTTTGATTTTGAACATTGTCACAGCAGGGGGCACAGGTGTGACTCTGGTTCCTGTGCCAACGAAGACGGCCAGAAGTCACAGTGATATCAAAGGGAGACGTCCCTTTGACGTACCTGCTTCAATTTTCATTTTTTCATGTCAATTTTCTGCAATGGGTCGTGGCTAACCCAAGAACCACCAAGCCGTTTCCAACAATCTGTTTACTTTCCTGTTTGCACGGTTTTCGCAATCTGATTTACTGCTGACATCGTCAGATGGAACAGTTGCATCTAGCAAGGACGTAGAAGGAATTCTTCTTCACTGTTTCTCACGCCTAGTCATTCAATGTCTCCTGTCAGGTTTAACTGAAGTGTTTTTGCACGTGTGATGCATTCCACATCAGTAATTCGATAAGATGTTTCTGAGCAAGTGTGTGACTGTGTGTGTGACAAAGCTGTGCGTGAAAGAGTTGTGTGTGTGTGGACTGTCTTCCACCATGTCCTGTCTCTTTCCTGCCTTCCCATCTCATTTTCACATCTGTTTGGTGTTTTTTTTGGAAGAAGTTGACATGTGGGGTTATGCGGTGCTTTATTTTTGCGGAATGTGGCCAGATTCTGATGCTTCCAGGTAGTGTGGGGCCAGCCGAAGTGGATGGGCAGAAACTTTTGCAGAAAGTGCAAGAGCTGCATAACTTTGTGGAGCAAAGCTTTCGACAGCAGGGCAAACTTTTGCGAGAACTCCGACGTGCACGTCGCAAGGGAGCTTTCAACTCATTTGATCGTTTGGATTCTTGGGACCCTCCGTCGTCTCCTGAACCCGCTTCCGTGCCCGAAGAGGAGGAGGATGAACTGGACAGGAGCATGGAGGCAGCGGCAGACGAAACCGAGGGAAACCAAAGAGAACCGCACATGGCACAGGCTGGACAGGCAAAGGCCAGACCATCCCTAGAATCCACCCTTGCACGTACCCCACAAACGTCCGAACGATCTGAGGGTTCAAAGGAAGGAGAAGGTTCTGAAGGCAACGGGCATCCAAGAGCAAGACCATCGTTGGAGTCGATCCTAATCCGCACCCGGCAATCACCCGAAGGGCCAGCCGGAGAAAACATCCGAAACAGCTTAGACAGCCGTGGGAGTCAAGGCCAAAAGCGCTTCGCGCTGAGACTCAGCCAAAGTAGCCACCTTAGCGCCCACACTGTGCGGAGCACGCGAAGCAAAGGAAGCAATAGAAGTCAGCGTTCCTCCAGCCACCAGTCAGGCAGTCGCAGCTGGGCAACGGATTACAGCTCACCAGATTCTTTTGTGCAAGATGAGCTACGCAAGCACTTCACAGCTGCCCAAGTTCAGGCTACATGGCAGCAGCGTCGCAGGGCAGCTTCACTTGACACCCTCGAGATCGAGGAGTCCACTGTGACCCGCTATTCCAAGGCCGAGTCAGGTCCAAAACCTTCTTGGGTCTCTTGACGCTTCTGATTTTTCTCCACGTGATCCTCATGGGAATAGAAGTTGATCTAGCTGCCTCAACTGACGCCCCGCTGCCAGACTGGTTTGGTATTCTCAACCTTGTTTTGGTCATCTTCTTCGTGGCAGAGCTGTGCCTGAAATTCGCAGCCTTTGGTTGCGCGACTTTCTGGTTTGGCACCGATTGGGCCTGGAATTCCTTTGACTTTCTTGTGATTGCTTTATCAGTGCTGGACATTGTTCTTGAATTTTCTTTACGGGCATCAGTCAGCACTGGCCAAGTTCGAGTCTTTCGCGTTCTTCGCATCTTTCGCTACGTGCGGAGTATCAGAGTGGTGCGGCTTTTCAGGTATATCAGCGCTTTACAGGTTCTGACCTTGTCCATCCTTGGCACCATGAGCTCGTTGCTTGATAATTGCACCGCAGGCAGTCTGTTTGATCTTGGGCATAATGAAATTACAGCGCCGAGAAAAATGATGATATATATCATGATAAGTTTTCAGGTATTGCGCCACGCTTGTCAGCCCGAAGGGGCATGACCCGTAAGCAAGGTGAGGGTGACCAGTGCCTTTTTTGTGCTTTGCCCGAAAGTCAATCCTACATAGACGTGATATGATATGAGATGATATGATATGATATGATGTGGTGTGGTATGGTATGGTATGGCATGGTATTGCTCAGTTCCCTGCCATGGCATGGTCTGCTCTTTTCTTGTTTGCTTTTTCTGTCTCTGTTTTATCAGGTGCCCTACTCTTCATGCTTCTTCCCTGGTCCTATTCTTACTTGTTGGCAATGGTTATGCTATGCTGGTGCTGCTGCAGTGTTTTTCTTCTTCGCCTTGGCATCTCCCTTTTCCACCTCTTCCTCTTCTTCTTCTTCTTCTCCTCCTTCTTCTTCTTCTTCTTCGTCTTCGTCTTCGTCTTCTTCTTCGTCTCACTCTTCCTCTTGTTGTCTGTCCCCTGCCCCTGCCCTTGCTTTCTGGGTTCTGGTCATGCACCTGTGTGTGCTCATGCGCTTGCTCCCTGGCCGGCCCTGCGTGCTTGCTGAGGTAGCTGGCTTGCTTTCTTTGCTTGCCCTGTTTGCGTGCTTGCGTGCTTGTTTTGCCTTCCTTGCCTTGCTTTCCTGCCGTGCTTGCTTTGCCTTCCCAGCCTTGCCTTGCCAAGCTTGCAAATAGCACTTTCCCATCATCAACGTGGTAGTTTGGTCGTGTTGTGGCGGAATAGCGCGGATATGGGCGGATTTGTTGGATAGCAGGGCGATTTTCAGAGCTATGCTGCGGGGTGTGAGCTCACCAAAAAGTTACATTATGTTGCGTCTGGTGAGTCCATGAGGCCGTCGGTGACCCGGAAGATAAAATCAAGCCTCCGTAAGAAACAGAGCATGCTTCCATCAAAATTCATGCATCATGCAGTTTCAAGGCTGGTTGATGCTATGCAATTCCACCAGGTCACCAGGGTTCCCACATGTTCCTACTGTGAACCACCTGGGCAAAGGGGTTTTTACTGCAAATAAAATGCATATGCCCCAAGAAAGACATTGGTTCATGCAAGTTTCCTTCCTTACTTATTTGCTTACCTACTTCCTTACATCCTTCCTGCCTTCCTTCGCTCCTTCCTGCCTCTGAACTGTTATTGATTGTTTCTAGCTACTTACCTACTTCCTTACTTCCTTACTTCCTTACTTTCCTTACCTTACTTACCTTGCTTACCTTACTTACCTGACTTGCCTTACTTACCGTACTTACCTTACTTACCTTGCTTACCATACTTACCTTACTTAACCTACTGAACCTACTGAACCTACTTAACCTACTTAACCTACTTGACCTACTTAACCTACTTAACCTACTAAACTTACTAAACTTACTAAACTTACTGAACCTACTTAACCTACTTAACCTATTTAACTTACTAAACATACTAAACTTATTGAACTTACTAAACTTACTAAACTTACTAAACTCACTAAACTTACTAAACTCACTAACTTACTAACTAACTAACTTACTTACTTACTTACCTACCTACCTACCTACCTACCTACTTACTTACTTACTTATTTAAACATACCTAACATACCTAACTTATTTGACTTTTTTTACCTTACGTAACTTATTTAACTTATTTAGTTTCTTTAAACTTATTTAGCTTCTTTAAATTTATTTAACTTTTTAAACTTTCTTTCTTTCTTTCTTTCTTTCTGTCTTTCTCTCTTTCTTTCTTTCTTTCTTTCTTAGTTTATTACCTTGCATTCTTAATTGCGTATGTATTTACTTACTTGCTTGCTTACTTTCTTACTTGCTTACTTGCTTGCTTACTTACTTACTTACGTACTTACGTACTTAACTTACTTTCGTAACTCTTTCGCGCGCAGCCAAACCAATGAGTTCATTGCTGATCAAATCCAGCCCAAGTGCTTTCTTTGGCGCAACGGGCAGGGCATGCTCTCCGAGGTTAGCTTGGACGTTGGCGCTGTTGATTCTCATCATCTACAGCTTCGGTGTGGTTCTGACCGAGATTGTTTTCCAACATTGCGGTCAACTATCAAACTGCCCTGAAGATTTGACCTCGCACTGGGCAAATTTGCGTCTGAGTCACTTCTCTAGGAAATGCAGCCCTTGCGTCCACAGATGGATAGTTAATAAAGAAATAGGGAACGATTGCACAGGTTCGGGAAATACTTTTGCACCTTCGTTCTGCCACTTGATAGTTTGCACCTGGGCAGGGCTGAGGCTACAACAGTATAAACTATTCACACAAACGCAGGTGCTGATGCTGTATCATGTACGTGGGTGTTGGCACTAATTCTAAAGTGGGCGTACGCATTCTATTGCAACATTTGTACTTCTGACCATGATCGTTCTTCTGACTTGTTTCTGCAGGAATTCATTGACAAAGAAATGTGGCTGCATGTGACAGCCATTTCGCACGAAATGAAGCAACAATGCAGGTTGCAAAAACCAGCTCCCCAGCACTGAGCTGGCACAAGAACTTCTCAGCTTTGCCCATGAGCGCAGTGGCCACCTTCGCCATCGGCCAAATGCTACCATAAATACTTACAACTCCCCCACCCCCAAACGGCCACCCAAGTGTTCTGAAATTTCTCCCGCCAAGAACTGTTCTTCTGCTGCCCTGCACCCTTCTCCTGCCCTGAACAGTTCTCCTGTTCTGAATCGCTCTCCTGCCCTAAATCGCTCTCCTGCCCTGAATCGTTTTCCTGCCCTGAATCGTTTTCCTGCCAAGAAACCTTTTCCTGCTAAGAAAACCATTCTCCTGCTATGAACCGTTCTACTGTGAAAGAAACGGTTTCCGTAATAATTTGCAACCGAATCGAAATTTTCACACCGGACAGAAGTAGGGAAATTTAGGAGAATGTGGGATTCTTGGATTTGAAGCATTTCACCTGAGAAAATCCATACGGCCCCGAGCATCCTTCTTCTGGCTGGAGTCGTTCTTCTGGTTTGTTTTGCGTCACAAATGAAATTGACAAAGGGTTGTTGGAATGAGTTGTGCAATGTGGTCTCCATGGAGTTCAGCTAGGGGGGTCGGCAGAGCGTGGCATCGTTCTTTTGATCAAGATTGCTCTTCTGAGAAATATCGTTCTTCTGACTAACATTGTTCTTCTGAGCAATATCGTTCTTCTGAACAACGTCGTTCTTCCTGAGGAACATCAATGTTTTGAACACCTTCGTTCTTCTGAGTAAAACCGTTCTTCTGAAGAACGCTGTTCTCATGCTTGGATGGCCGCCGGACACATGCCAGGTAGAATGTGAGAATAGATGCCAGAATGGATGCCGGATAGAATGCCAGATAGAATGTCAGAAAAATTGTCTGGTAGAATGCCAGATAGAAAGCTGTCTTTAGGTTGTTGGTCTATGCCTCTATTTGTCAATGAACATTGAGTGTCAGGGTGATCCTGCGGTTTTCCTTCACTTTTGCCTTAAAACGCATAGAATTAGGATTAGCTATTGAGAATGCGGAAGTCTGGATTAGACTAATCGCGAAATAAGTTCCAGACCTACCCGGCAATGCTGAGTTTGGCCACATTTCGCAAATTTCAATCGCCAAGCGGTTGGCTGCATGTGGGCCACGGGCGTGGCTACCTGCTTTGAGCCCTAGCAACACAGAACTGCGCAAACCATGCAACAGAGCTAGTGCGAGGCTAGTGCTTCGATGTGCTTCGACAATTCGCGTGTTTCAAACACCAACTTCAGAAACTACTAGTCACAACATGTCAGAACGCCGCTGCTGGAAGGCAAAGATGCAAATAGACGAAATTGAGAATCAAGTGTAAAATATTCATGGCCCTCCAAGAGCCATGCTTCAACCAGAATGAAAGATCAAAGGCCGCAGGTGACCTCGGAGAGCGCTATTTGAAACGCAGGTCAATTTGGTCAGTTCGCCTCTAGAATGTTGCCCAAATTCCTTTGGCATTCAAAACTGGCTCAGAGAGTGTGAGCCACCGCGCCTTTGCAACCCAATTTTTTACCTGATTCTGATTTCCTGCGCGCCAAATGCCCTTGTCGGTTTTGGCGCTTTCAAGTCACAGTGTTGCTTTGGCTACTTGTGGGTTTGGTGGGCTGCAACTGCGGCATTGCAATATTTTTCTTTCCTTGTCCTGAGGCATGCTGTCGCTCTTTATGGCAATCTCGCAGGGGCTTAATTGGGAGGATTTGCTGACACCTCTATTGAATGTGTCTGAAGTGGCTGCCGTCCTGTTGATTTTGTACGCGACTTGACGTGTCCTCAAAGAAAAGAGTTTTATTATTTGCTGAATTTGTTAAGATGGACCCGCTTGACACAACTGCAAACCTTCAAATGAATTGCGTTGGGCGGCAACTGTTCAACATTTCGTCGTGCGGCAGGTGATCATGACCATATTCGCAATTTTGAATGCCCCACGGATGCAAGCACTTATTTCTATGGGGAGGGTCGTGCTCCAGTTACTCAGTGCTACTGCCTGACCATTATAGGGACAAGGTCTTCCACTGAACTTGCTGCCAACAGGAATCGTGCCGCTGCTAGTTGTTTGTTTTTACGTGCCTTTTTATCATGCAAGACTGAGCACCTTTCTACAGGACATGCATTTTTTGTAGTAGGGTTTTGAAGCTGCAGCTGCTGTTCAGGGCACCCATTAAGGGCGAGCTCCCCATAACTTGTGCTGGATTGCAGCACTTCTTGGCTAAGGTCGTCAACCGGTGTGTTTCTTGGCCTGCATTCTTGCAACAGCGTTCATGTTGAGATGTTTTAACCCCACATTTCCCCCAAAAGACTTGGTGAACAGGCTTTCCATAGAAAGTTTGTCTACTAATTATTTGGTGCTTTGCAGCTCAGTTCTTTGCCAATCATTGTGGGGCAGCTGCGCAAACGCAACAGTGCATTCTTCTTGTTTTGCATGTTTTTGCCAGCGAGGGGAAAACCGCGCAAGCATTTTGGCCGTTTTTGAAAACATACAAATTTTAGGCGTCACATGCACATCGCACGTTACGTCACTGGGTTGGGGGGTGATGGGGGGTGGGGATGTTAACGTTCATGTTAACTTGCGTCACATGCGCATCGCACGTTACGTCACTGGGTTGGGGGGTGGGGATGTTAACGTTCATGTTAACTTGCGTCACATGCGCATCGCACGTTACGTCACTGGGTTGGGGGGGGGGGGGGATGTTAACGTTCATGTTAACTTGCGTCACATGCACATCTAACGTTACGTCACTGGGTTGGGGGGGTGGGGATGTTAACGTTCATGTTAACTTGCGTCACATGCACATCTCACGTTACGTCACTGGGTTGGGGGGGTGGGGATGTTAACGTTCATGTTAACTTGCGTCACATGCACATCTCACGTTACGTCACTGGGTTGGAGGGGGTGGGGATGTTAACGTTCATGTTAACTTGCGTCACATGCACATCTAACGTTACGTCACTGGGTTGGGGGGTGGGGATGGTTCATGTTAACTTGCGTTTGGATGGTTCAAACTTGCGGCATCACGTTACGTCACTGGGTTGGGGGGGTGGGGATTAAACGTCATGTTAACTTGCGTCACTGCACATCGCGCGTTACGTCACTGGGGGGGGGGGGGGATGTAAACGTTCATCATGTTGCGTCACATGCACATCGCGCGTTACGTCACTGGGTTGGGTGGGGTGGGAGATGTAAAGTTCATCATGTTAACTTGCGTCACATGCACATCGCACGTTACGTCGCTGGGTTGAGGGGGGTGGGGATGTTAATGAAATGTTTATGTTAACTTGCGTCACTCACATGCACATCGCACGTTACGTCACTGGGTTGGGGGTGGGGATGTTAACGTTCATGTTAACTTGCGTCACTCACATGCACATCGCACGTTACGTCACTGGGTTGGGGGTGGGGATGTTAACGTTCATGTTAACTTGCGTCACATGCACATCGCACGTTACGTCACTGGGTTTGGGGGGTTAACTAATGTGTTGGGTTTTCATGGGTTTTCCCTTGCTGGCATTATACACGTAGGATGCATATGTAAAAGACATGTAAAAGAGATGTTGATGTATATATATATACATGTAATAATATATATATATATATATTTGTTTATGTACAGCAGATGTGGATAGACATATCGACATGTCGACCTTGACCTTCATGTTTTAAGGTGGCCACGTCAACCCAAAATTGATGCGAAGCATCAGGGTGTGGCAATGGCGTTGGATGAACTCCAAGACCAAAGGTCTTTTGCAGCTCACTGGTCACGGCTTGAAGAAGCGTATGGCAGTGTAAGATGGGAAAAAAAACACCGCGCGAGTTTTCAGAAACAATTTCCTTGTAAATTACAGGTCATCATCAAAAAACCATTTCAAATTCCCGGGGAATTTTAAGCCTATTTTTGGGAATGCATCAGTAGTTTCGCTTTGGCGAAAACGACATTTTTTCCCGAGAGCGTCTGAGCGCAGGGTTCTTCCAATAGTGGAGGTCTGTAAAACACCTTCTCCTCTTCACATCTTCTCATCCTCACATCTTGCATCTTGACAGCCTCACATCTTCACATCTTCTCATCTTCACATCCTCTCATACATCTTCTCATCCGCACATCTTCTCCTCTTCGCATCTTCTCATCTTCACATCTTCACATCCTATCACACATCTTCTCATCCTCACATCTTCTCCTCTTCGCATCTTCTCATCTTCACATCTTCACATCTTCTCATCCTCAGATCTTCTCATCTGCTCATCTTCACATCTTCTCACCTTCACATCTTCTCATCTTCACATCTTCTCATCTTCTCATCTTCTCATCTTCGCATCTTCTCATCTTCACATCTTCTCATCTTCACATCTTCTCATCCTCACATCTTCTCCTCTTACCCTCTTGCCCTCTTGCCCTCTTGCCCTCTTGCCCTTTTGCCTCTTGCCCTCTTGCCCTCTTGCCTCTTGCCCTCTCCTTCTTTTCTATTTCTCTCTTGAAGGCGCGGGGCAGTGCCAACGAGACGGCACGAAACGCAACCCTTTCGCGCGAAATGAGGTTCGATCGCCAAAAACTGCGGTAAAATTGCGAGTTCAAGTCGTCCCGCGCAACCCTTTCGCACGAAATGAGGTTCAATCGTCAAAAACTGAAGTAAAATTGCGAGTTCAAGTCGTCCCGCGCAACCCTTTCGCACGAAATGAGGTTCGATCGTCAAAAACTGGAGTAAAATTGCGAGTTCAAGTCGTCCCGCGCAACCCTTTCGCACGAAATGAGGTTCGATCATCACTACCCTCTTGGCGCCTCTGACCCCCCCAAGAGGTAAAAAATGTAACATACATTATTACATTTTTATACGCCCTCTAGAAATATAGGAGTTTGATGGAGTTTGTGGGGGGGAGGTAAAAAATGTAACATGGGCATTGCACGGGGGTACACCTGCTATGTTACATTTTCCAAGGCCCCCCCCCCCATGAACAGCCACGGAAATACTTTGGGGGGGGACCCTAGGGGGTAGAAATTGTAACATATCTCCGTGGGGTACCCAAAAAATATATGTTACTTTTTTGGGCCCCTCCCCCCACCCTGCCCTATAACCCCCCTATAGCTCTACATAGCCCTACCATAACCTACATTAACCATTCTGAATCATTCTGAGATATTCTGATATTATGTTTGATTCCAATGCCAATGTTTGGACATGTTTGGACATGTTTGGACATGTTTGACCGATTTTTTTTTGGGAATGCATCAAACACCCCAAACATGTAACATACATTTTTCAAGTTGGGAAGTCGGATCTTGTGATTGTCTATTCAAACCACCCAAAAAAACGTAACATACATTTTTGATGTTTATCTTTACAAATTTGATTTATAAATTTGTTTCCCCAGCCTAAAAATGTAATGTAACATTTTTGCGTTTACTTCATGAAATTGGGTAAAGCAATCTACATATATGTGGATATATGTGGTATATAGCCGGGGTCCCGAAACCCTGCATAATGGCACTCCAAAAATGTATGTTACATTTTTCACCCCCTGGGGAGCTAAGACGGTCGTGATGTTCGATCGTCAAAAACTGAAGTAAAATTGCGATTTGCAAGTGGTCCCACGCAACCTTTTCGCACGAAATGAGGTTCGATCGTCAAAAACTGCGGTAAAATTGCGATTTCTTCTGTGTGTACAAGCTTCTGTGTGCTGTGTGTAAAAGCTTCTGTGTGTAAAAGCGTCTGTGTGTAAAAGTGTTTGTGTGTAAAAGCGTCTGTGTGTAAAACGGTCTGTGTGTAAAAGCGTCTGTGTGTAAAAGCTTCTGTATGTAAAAGCGTCTGCGTGTAAAAGCTTCTGTGTGTAAAAGCTCGTGTGTGTAAAAGGGTCTGCGTGTAAAAGTCTCTGTGTGTAAAAGCTTCTGTGTGTAAAAGCGTCTGTGTGTAAAAGCGTCTGTGTGTAAAAGCGCCTGTGTGTAAAAGTGTTTGTGTGTAAAAGCTTTTGTGTGTAAAAGCGTCTGTGTAAAAGCTTCTGTGTGTAAAAGCATCTGTGTGTAAAACTGTCTGTGTGTAAAAGCGCCTGTGTGTAAAAGTTCCTGTGTGTAAAAGTGCCTGTGTGTAAAAGCGTCTGTGCGTAAAAGCGTCTGTGTGTAAAAGCTCCTTTGTGTAAAAGCTTCTGTGTGTAAAAGCTTTTGTGTGTAAAAGCGTCTGTGTAAAAGCTTCTGTGTGTAAAAGCGTCTGTATGTAAAAGTGTTTGCGTGTAAAAGTATCTGCGTGTAAAGCGTCTGCGTGTAAAGCGTCTGTGTGTAAAGGAGTCTGTGTGTAAAAGCCTATGTGTGTAAAAGCGTCTGTGTGTAAAAGCTTCCGTGTGTAAAAATGTCTGTGCGCAAAAGTTTCCGTATGTAAAAGTGTCTGTGTCTAATAGCATCTGTGTGTAAAAGCGTCTCTGTAAAAAGTTCTGTGTGTAAAAAGCTATTTGAAAGATACGATGCAAACTATTGTCTTGTACTTGTGCTATATTTTCTTGATACTCTTCTCGTCTGCCAAAAACACATCTTTAATATATTGTTTTGTAATATGGTGTCTCCATACTAACAAGAGAAGACCCTGCTCCTCTACGCTCTCGGGCCATCCGTCGTCTAGTTTTAAAAACACCATAGTATTTGTCTTTGGCGTTGAGACTGAGTTTTGGCGGGGAAAGTTCTGTTGCTAGAGCTCCTAAACCTTTGCTATTTTGCAAATTTGCTTTTGCGTTGTCACTGCGTCAATGCTGTTGGTTGCCGCGGCCGCGCGCCATGCCTGTTCTGGGACTCTGCTATAAAATGCTATAAACAGAAGTGGGGTGGTTGCTGGTATCGCCCCGACGGGATGTTTTTGACATTAACCATTTTCCGTTTAAATGATCAGTTTTCACAAGTCAGAAATCTTGCTACTGGCAGTGGCAGGGTAGAGCCCAAAAAAGGAATTGGAGTTGCAAGCCGCTCCAGTGGACGTTCTGGCTGATCTTAGCAATATTCAGTTCCCCTTCACCTTCACCAATCTTTTTCCTTCTCCCCCTTCCTCACTTGATCCAGAGTGTGGGGTTCAAGTGGCCCTGGTCCATGGCTTGGCCCCTGTAGAGGAAGAATGATGTGGGTGATTTATTCCCCAAACAGTGTGGCCACACTTGGGGTACTTACGGTAATAGGTAGGGTTGGGCGTCAATTCGAGGTGGCTCCGGCGGGCCCGGAAAATCTGGTGACCTTTACAGCACAAAAGCTCCTTCATTGATCTTC